TTAGAGAGAGAAAGGAGAAAGAAGAGAATATTTGATGACAACTTAGTTGGCTTTGGTTGGATGATGAATTTTTTTGTTGTTCAAGAAAATCTCATTTAAGTGATTTTGATATAAATTAGTACGATTTACATATGTCATGGTAGTGAATCGGATCCATGAATGTGATTTTGTTAGTACTCATAGTGTTGAATATGTGTATAAATCAAAATTAGGAAGTTATGCAATAGTAATTAGGTGTCATATGTTTCTCTAATAATTACTTGATTATAATAAATAAGAAAATAAATTTAATCTCAATCTGCTTGTGAGGCCCGTTTGGCTAAGCTTATTTTAAACAACTGATAAACTCTTACGTCTGATAAGCTATTTTAATGGTTGATAAGTTGTCACACGTGTTATATTCAAAATTAATTTTTCAATTGTTTGGATAATGAGCTTGTAAACTATTTTTACGCATTATAAGATGTTAAATAAAAAGTGTCGTAAATGTACTTTTTAAAAGACCTTAAATGCTCTTCAACAACTTATTTGTTGATTTTTTAAAATTTATTTTTTTAATTTACTGAACACTTTAGAAGAGATTATAAGCTCTTAGACATCTTATAAGCTCTTATAAACAACTTATAAGCTTAAAGAATTTATGTTTCCTTTCTTTATATGAGAAGCAAGACAAAAATGCTTGTTCAACATGGTGGGGATTGATTCCCTTTACTCTTCAATTTTTGGAGTTGGTGGTGTCTCCTGGTCGCTGGCACAAGGAATCGCATTAAATCAATATATTCAAATAAATAAATAAATAAATATATTATATAAACATTTTTTTACTTATGTTGTCACATTTCCTATTAATTGAAATATTTTTTTTAGATACTATTAATTGAAATATTAATTTTACTTATAAACTGAAATATTGGTCGGAAATTAAAGAAAACACTTCAAATCTATTAACTTAGAACAACTATGGCACATAAAAATACATATTCAATATGTACATAAATGACTAGGGTTGGGAATTTGTCGGTCTAGGACCAACACTTTGTGACCAATATTTTTTACTGTTCTATATAGTTGGGCTGATAATTTTAACCGACCCATGTATAATGGTCGTCGGTCGGTATGTGGATTTCAGTTTAGTCAAAAGTAGGTTGGCCGATAATTACACGACCAACCGACTTTTTCAACAATAAAAATATATTATAAATTTTTAATCGTAATTCTTCTTTTTAAAAGTTAAAATAACATGGAAAAGAAGCCAAAATTCAAAAATTCAAAATACAAATTTATAGACATGTATTAGCCATTTTTTTATTTTTATAATCCTTATTTTCTATTCTTCTTTATATATTTACTTATTCTAGAAACTTAGTAGAAAGAAAATCTTAATTTTAAGCTTATGATTGTGCAACATATTTTTTTCCAAAATTTGAATATCGTTTGAAAATAATTTTAACCAAATTGATAGAATAACATTTTATTATTGTAAAGAAAAAAAAATCAAAAATTAGATGGTCGATAATACCAGCCATCCTACTTGTGTATCCGATAAAGTTGATTGTCAACATTTATCCGATCCACAATGGTTGGGTCCGTAATAGTTTTCAATATTCAGTAAAATCGATTGTTAAAATTGATATATAATTGACCAATACTTACCCGATCGAACCCGACCGGACCCATGCCTTTTCCTATAAATGGCTATATTCTACTTACTTTTAGAGTTAAAAGTAAGATGTAGAGTTTTTTCGAAACTTGTGCTAATTAGGTGGATGGGTTTTGTGGTGCTTATTTTTCTACTTTTAAATGTTATCATTTAATTGAATAAATCTTTGATGAAAACTTTAACAAGTGTAATAAATAATTATTACTACTAGAAATAATCAAATTACCTCGACTAGTATAATATAAGATATCGACGCAACACGAAAGCGTGAAAAATAATCGATTTCTATGAATTAGTTTTAAAGAAACAATAAATCTGAAATACACCAAGAAATAGAGAAAAGTATATGACTACCTTTGTTAATCCTAAAACTGCAAAACCTAGTTAAAGTATACAAAATAAGAAATATTATCATAAATGACAAAAACGAGTTAATTGTACAAAAACGCAAAAAGTCGAAAATGCTAAGAGTGGTCCAATTTATAAATTTACAACCCGGTTCTCCGACAAAAAGTTATTAGGACACAAATTATTATTAAAAAAAAAAAAACAAATAGATCTCTTGACAGCCTAATCGATCGATTTGATCGATTTTGCTTCAAATAAGATGGGCATTGTGCCCTAATTCGATAATTACTAAAATAACCTTGCTCCAAACCATCAATTCGACAATTTTCTCTTAATATTTCCACATACGCCCCTTAGCATTCGGAAAAAGCCTAACAAGACTTCTATTAATAGATCAAATATCAAAAAAATAATATTTTCCCATAGAAAATACTTATTCACTTTGTATTTATATGATATAATTATGGTTTCTTAATATCTTGTTTATTGGTTAATATCTTTTAAAAGTTTTTAAAAAATTAAAAAAATGGTCCCAATTTAGAAGTGAAATCTCGTTTTCACATGAATATTATGGTCCCACGTTTGGTATATTAATTGTGCATGAAAGTAACTTTACAATCGTGAACAATAAATTGGACCACCAAATGTTATACTATAGCAATATACATTGGCATTATTGTTATAAATGTTAGATTAAACTCATTGGTAGGATTTACTATATATATATATGTATGTATATTCACTTAAAGACTTGTATATATATTGAGAAAAATATAAACTTTAAATAAAATAGTGACGGAGCCAGAATTTTCAATTTGATGGAGTATTTGATGGTTCAGGAATTAGCATAAAATAAATACATATGTATAATATTTAATTAAATATAATCAATTAAACTCTTTTAAATTATATCCAAAACAATTATGTTGGTGTAAACTACTTTATAAACTACTTTATAAACTACAGTCACTTTTCACATTTTCAATTTGTGAAATTTCTTCATTATTGAATGAGCTAAATGATAAATTAGTGGACTAGTGATAGTGAGTTGAAGTTCACCCTAACTATGATTAAGGTGGTGCTTGCAAAAGCTGTTGAAAAGTGATTCTGAGTTTTTCTGGATTCAGAATAATTGTTGAAGTATTTGCAATACCAACTTTTTTTAAAATAAGTTTGCTGGAAATTATTTTTTTGTGAAGCTTGCAAACACCTTTAACTTTTAAAAATAAGCACTTATTATTAACTTAACTTATAATCACCGACTTCTGTTTTTCAAAAAACTTTCGCATTCACCTATCTATGTACAAAACCTATGAACTAAGGGCCGAAGGTTTTGGGCTCAAAATATGTGGACAAGGATCAATATGAAAAACCTAAAACAACACTATGGGCTACTTTTTTCCCTGAAATATTAAATTTTATATGGGCTATCAATTTGGGTTTAATTTTTATATTTCAATATTTAAAAAAAATATTATAGTGTAAAAATTACGTTGACTGGGCATTGTTCTAGTAACTAAAATAAATAAATAAAAGAATCTCAATATTAGATAAATTGAGTATTTTCTTTTGATATGTCTCGTTTGGTTGGAAAGAGTAGCCATGATCAACAAAATAATTGAACTTAATTTATTGTTTTGTTAATCCAATTATTTTCCGGGTCGATTCAATTTTTTTTTTTTTTTTTATCATCAGATAAGTAATTCGACATTATTCGACTGTCCAATTAAATAATTGGGTTATGATATGTTCCATTAATAACAAAATTCCAATGGCATATTCAATAAATAAATAAAAAATGTCTTATAATTCCAAAAAAATATATTGTTTTGTATATCAGCCAGGACAAAAAGACATTGATAAATATGTTGCCTATTATAGTAATCTTGGTCACTTCCATTTCCAGGCTGCATCTGTGGAAACTTAAACTTAAATTATTATTTTATTTGTGTCCCACTTTAAATAGTAGTATTAAATAAATAAATAAATTATCACACTTTGTTTGACAATCGAGGAAAACATGTGCTTTCTTATTATAATATTAGAGAGAGAGAGAGAGAGAGAGAGAGAGAGAGAGAGAGAGAGAGAGAGAGAGAGAGAGAGAGAGAGAGAGAGAGAGTGGAAAACATGTGCTTCATATATGTTTTTCTAACAAGACAAATTGAGTTGACTAAAGTCAATATATTCTTCTTCTGGGAAGCCTGGAGAGTTTGACCAACGAAAAAGACTCGTTAATTTGTCAATATATAAGGCTAAATGACTCGTTTTAAGTTAAGAAAAGCTAAGATTTAAGATTTATTGTAAAATAAATTCATGCAAACAAATGAATTTTTTTTTTTTTTTTTTTTTTTTTTACTTTTTATTTAAATTAAAGTGAATTTATTATTACAGGATGTAGTACTTTTTTTTTTCAATTTCGGTTTTGACTAACGACATAACTCGTGAGTCCAATGGGTTGACTCGATATAAAATTTGAGCTTTCAGTCGAGGTTGAGTTCGATCCCAATTGCATGAGGATCGAGCTAGCACGGACCATACTATTATATTTTATGGGCTCGAGCTCACCAAATGAGCCAATTTCGGGTCGAGTTTGCGCTTGATTACATCTTAATTAATCTTGAAGAGTTTAGGGCACTAAATCGACTTGTCTTTATACAAGTTGATTGAGTACGTTAAACTCTTATTACTCTCGTCCGGTTTCTGCAATATTGCACGAAGACATAGTTTATTAGTGCACATTGTGGCTACAAATTAATTCCTTATAAAAATGTATAATATATATATATGGCATAAATCTTTCAAAACTCTTAAATAGAATAACTTCAAATGCATGATCTACATTTCGATAATCGTATTTAGTGTATAAATAGTTCATACGTATTGTATTTCATCTTAATCTCGTTTTAAACTACCGAACAAAAGTATCACAAGACGTACGAATATATGTCATTTTAATCTCGTTTTAAACTCATAAAATCTCAATTAATTCTAGTACATTGCACACACAAATTTAGCATATCATGATACATAAAGAGTAACAAATTAAATTTCATTATTTCGTGCTAGCTAAACAAATTCATTCCATCGTCATAGTAAACGAAACAATCGTAAACCCCTCCTCCCGCTTCTTCAATCGGAACATAACTACTTCCGCTTCCATAACCCAATTCAAAAGATTCCCCCGAGAAATTACGGTCAACCATTTGACCAACACAATAATCATAACAAGAATTCGAGCTTGGCAATTCACTAGTGTAATGAAGTTGCGAATCGGAAAAATAATAGTTTTCGTCCGATGATGCCAATGGCGGAAAAAAGTCATTATTACTATTATTATTAATATCTGCCAGCTGAAATATGTCGTCCCATAAATTATCGTCATCAAATGATAGCGAGGAACTGGCAGTAGTATTATTCGACGAAGCCGATTTGTTGACGCTTTCTTCGCAAGAAGCTAACTCAGTAGTAGTAGAACTAGGGTTTGTAATAATAATTTCAGCCGTTGGATTTTTCGGTTCGCGTTTGCGTATACGAGTGTGCCAGAAATTCTTGATATCATTGTCCGTTCTTCCGGGTAGTTTAGCTGCAATCACAGACCACCTGTATCAGTAATTAACACATCATCATTTATCAGATTAATAATTATATTACCTAAATAATAAATTTAAATAAAAACTATGGAATAAATTAATTACCTTTTCCCAAGTTGAGCATGCAATTCGACAATTAAATCCTCTTCTTGCTTACTGAAATTGCCCTTTTTGACACCAGGTTTTAAATAATTCACCCACCTAAGTCTGCAGCTCTTCCCACATCTTTCCAGACCTAAACCATTTAATTTCATAAATTAAATTAATTATATATATATAAAATATAAATAATTAGCGTTTTCTTGAATTTCGGAAAAAATATCCAGAAAAAAAAATGTTGAAAAGGCGAGCAGTAATTGTTTCCTTGTTAATCTTGTTCATATATATTTCCGCAAAAAATCCCAACAGTTATAACTAAAATAATTACCGGCAAATTTGGGGAGCAAACGCCAATTCCAGTGGCCGTATCGGAGAATATAAGCCTTCAACTTGTTATCTTCTTCTTCACTCCACGCGCCTTTTTTCACTCCATTTTTGTCATAAAAAGGTGCTCTCACCATTTGATCTCTTTCAACTGTTTATGGAAGATATATATAGATATATATATACTATATCTATTACAGAAGCTCACTCTCTCTCTCTATATATATATATATGTATGTATATGTGTTAAAAATTAGTGTCACTGTATGGAGGAAACAACATAGAAGATTGGTAATTCGGATTAAAAAAAACGAGGTGACTTTCTTAAGTCAACTAAATGTCTAAATCATTAAGGGAATATTCAAATTACTAGTAATTAAGTAAATATTATTAATTTTAATGTTTTTTTATATGATGTATTTTAATTTGTTCTATATATATATATAGTATTAAAGAAGGTACCACTAGTTTCTAGGTTTTGTACTATGCAAGATGACATTCAAGAATCAAGATAGACCTTGAAACTAGGTTTTAACCTAATTAACTGTCAAATATAATTATTTGGATAATATATATACACACACACACACATATGCAAAAGGAAAACGGTTCGAGCAGTAGTTTATTTGAATTTTTATTGAAATTTAAAAATTGTACGTTTGAGCTTGGATTGATAAGAAATCGAATCGAGCTGAACACGACGAGCTTTATATATATAGTTTGTCAAATTATAAAAATACGTATCCAATTATCATGGTTCGTTATAATAACAAATTAAGCTCAAAACAAATCGAATTTGAAAAAAAAAACATTGACTTTTTTACTTTTGAAATTCAAAAAGAAAAAAAATAAAAAATCATTGACCGAATGACATGAACTTTTTAATATATTGTAATTATTTAAATGCACATGTTCAAAAACATAAACTATGCTATATAGCATATGAAATGATACCATAAGATCACATGCTCACATATTATGATATAATTACTTCCTAGAGAATCTTAACCAAACCAAAGATAATTAATCAGACTTTTAAATTTTGAAAATTTATAGTAAATAAAATCGAACGCATTACCTTTTTTTTTTCTTCCTTACTTTATATTCATAATCCATCAACCCTAACCTGAGTCAAGTCTCCGTGTATATATACGGTAACGAGGAAAATAATCAGGTCAAATTCAAATATATATACATAAATTTAAATAATGTGAACGAAAATAATTTTCTTATCGAAAAATTGCTCTAAGTCCTATTCGGTGACTTGGTTCATGTGCGGTGTGAAATTTATTAATCCATATATATTTAAAGATAACTTATATTCGTACGTTTGAATTTGAATTTGTACGCTGCTTGAGAAATAAAAAAAGTAAGAAAATATAATAAAATAGATAGCAAATAAAAAACCATGAATTTGTATAGTTACATTAATGTCAAATTTTCGGGATTATTATGAGAAAATATTTTGAAAAAATAAAAAAAATTCTCCTGTAATAAATTCTTAAAAATAAAGGTGGAAAATTTACCGATGACGTCACCAATATTATTGAAGTGTACAAAGACGACTCAGAAGTGTAAACACTGAGAGTGTTCACATTCAAATGATTAATAAAATGAAATATGAGTGTTCACATATTGGACTCGGACAACGTTTTGTTTTTTTATTGTCTAGTATATATATATATACACCACGTGTACAATATGATATATAGAGATATTTTGGAAAATTGGGTCAATTAATGTATAAACTAATCAAAACTAATTAATATTTACATAAAAAATTGTAATTTTACCTTCATTTTTTCTTCAAAAAAAAAAAAAAATTGCCATGATTTTAGAACATGATACAAAATGAATATCGGAAATTAAATACAGATCAGTTGTAGATTTTATGTAGGCTTTCAAATACAACTTGAACCAGTGCAACCATAATTTGTACGTATTTAGCAATTACAGATTAGGTGATTCAGGCACTTCGATCGGGTGACATGTTATCATTCGGTGCAATTATCGATAAATGCATTTATTTAGCAAATGTTTTCTCGAGCTTTTCTTTCTCTCGTTTGTTAAGCGTTCGGGCAATTCTTTAGTCCACGCTCTTGCTCATCGTCAATGTATTGATACATTAGAAGGACTTACGCTTCCGTATGATTTGGCCAATATTGCCTAATAAAATTTTCTCTACTTTCAAAAAAAAATAAAAATAAAAAGAGGATACTATGAGCAAAATAAATTTACGAAATTTGTATTATAATAAATTTTAATTTGAATCTCACAAATTGCAAAATATGAATGTTGAAGGTCTATAAGCATTACTATAAAATTTGAATTAGTCCAATTAGAGTAGAAATGTGAAAATTATGATGGGAATAATATCGTTGACAATAAGATTATGATAGTAGTAATGAATGCGATTTTTGAACATGATTGACATAAAATCCCATAAAACATTAAAACACAAATCATGAAACGTGTTCACATCTTTCTAATGCAACTTGAATCAGGGTGATCGGATCGAGTTCATGTGCAGAAGTTATGATAAAAATAAAACAAGTTTTAAGATTACGTAATAATATTGTCGGTTCGGCCGTATTAAGATTAGGACAGTAGTATTGAATGAGATTTTCGAACATGCTCGTAAGTCAGCTAATCAGAGGTCAACTAATCGGAGTTCCGGCGACCCACTGTCGTAGGTTGTCACGTTGCCGCCACTGCTGATGTTTGTTGGAAATCAAAGAAAAGGTTTGAATTAAATTATAGATAAAACAAGGTTGTCGCGTAAAAGATGATCTAGTGGGTGGAATTAGAGAATTTGGATCAATTGACTAAAATTTCAATTTTCTTGCATATACTTTCTAGGTTGAGTTCGTCATACATAATTAACTCAAGTATGGTTTCATATATCTCTTGTGAAGTTTGCGGAAGTTTGCAGCTATTGCACCAGCAATAGCTATATATTGGTTACGAGTTTTTTCACTACCAAAAAAAATAAAATAAAGATATCATTATAATAACCCCAAACTTTAGTCACTAGTACCAATTAAAGGTTGCATCCGAGGAAAATTTAAATGTTAAATTTTGTCCAGAAATATATCATTATGTACTTGTGCTGTCAATCACTAGATCTAGATCATTTTAATATTATTTATCAAATCTAATGATCCCACTTTTCTTATTTTCTATTTATTTATTTTCTTATACGACAATTGAGTTGACTTAAGTCAACTACATGGAGAATTTAATTTAGACCAAGAAAAGATTGATCAAAGTATATTTTGATGTTAATTACTTTGATACACATTATTTTTTAATCCTCTTTTCTAATTTTTCCTATTCATTATAATTATTAGTTAGTCAAACGCAATTACATATCTCCATTATAGGAACATTGACCACATAATTCTATGTTGGTTATTTGTAAATTAAACATTTTAAATGTATAATAATATATTTATAATATGGGGGCAACTATTTTGAATACTAATTTTTGCTTAGTTGAATACTACCAAGTTGAAAACCATAATTGAGTACATATTTATAAGTTTTTTCTTACTTTAAAACCAAAATAAAAAGAAAATTACAAAAACACCCTTTCATACAAAATATCAAGTATATCAAATTTTATTAGAAATTACCTAATCAAAAACCAAATAAAAAAAAAAGAAAAAAATCCCTTTGTTGTAAAAAAAAAAAACTCCAACCCTCTTCAACCCCCGCCGCCGCCGCCGCCGCCGCCGCCGACGCCGCCGCCGCTTCTTCGTCTATTGTTATCAACCCGCCGCCGCTTCTTCGTTCCGGTTTCATTCATCCAAGTAATAATTTTTTTCGAATTTTTTTTCTTTAATATTTACTTAGGATTTGATTGTTTGATATGGGTAATTAGGATTTGATTGTTTTAGGTAGAAATGATCGTTAATTAGTAATGGGTGCATCTAATTTCAGTCGATTCGAGCATTGATTTGAGATTCGTGGGTTGGTTCTTCGTTCACAATTTTCAACCTGTATATGTCGATTTTTGATGAATGTTCGACAGCTTGATGTCGAAAATTCATCAGAAATCGAGCTATAGTTGTCGAAAAATGTGAATGAAATGGGATTTTTGATAATTCGACAGATAGCTGTCGAAATTTGGATGAGTTTTCGACAGCTAACTGTCGAATATTCAACCAATTTTCGACAGCTACCTGTCAAATTAGATCTGTGTAATTTTTTTTTTTTTTTTTTTCGACACATAAGTGTCGAAAATATGGGTAATTTTCGACACTTAGGTGTCGAAAATTGTATCAAAATTCGACACTTAGGTGTCGAAACTTAATAAAATATGAATTGTTATGTTTTCGACACATACATGTCGAAAAATAAGGGTATTTTCGACCTGTATGTGTCGAAAATACATGGCGAGTTTAAAAAAAAAAAAAAATTCAAAATCGATGTTTTAGCTCAAAAAATACATGAATATATACTTGAATGGGTTCTCATTGCTCGTAAACTACCATTCTATTGTCATTTGACGCCATTTTGCAAGTTGTGTAAGGTTTTGATTTCTTTTGTTTTGAGGTTTTTTAAGAGGGTTTTTGGGGAGGAAGAAGAAGGAGGTGGAGGAGGTGAGGGGTTTGTGAGTGAGGAGATAAATATTTTTTTAGGTTTTTGATTATTTGGTATTTAAGAAAGAAAAATAGTATTTGTAATATTTTTTGGTTTTAATTTTCATTAAGGGCATTAAAGTAATTTACAATTAATTATTTATTTTTTATTTTTTTGGTATTCAAGTAAGCAAAAGTTAGTATTTGAAATAGTGATCCCCTTATAATATATATGATTCAAATGAAAGTTCACTTTCATCTATCATTCAAAGTTGATAGCCTTGAAATTTTGTACACGTGCTTTAAATAGTCAATAAAAAATACTCCAAATTCTTGTTGTATGTGGATACTCTTGCTTCCATACGTACACTTTTGATGGTCTTTTTCAATATATAAATTTGCTTTCTTGATCAAGTTGATGTTTTTGTTCAACTATGCATGTAAATTGACATCATCAATATAATTACAAATTTAAATTTGATTTTTTTCTTTCTTTTCAAATTCTTGCAAGTCATCAGTCATTATTTATGTACCCCGGACAAGGAAACGACGATACGAGTAAACAGGCAAATGGGGAAACGGACACGGGAGAACGTCATGTCCGAAAAATGGGGAAACAGGAGCTTGGGAGAAACGTGTAAATATTAAAAATATAGTGATGTATTTATAAATATGTTATATAAACATATATAAGTTTATATATATATATATATATATATATATATATATATATATATATATATATATATATATATATATATATATTATTTTTTTTCATACAAACATATTGAAAATAAATTTTACTATCAACTACCAATTTGCAATTGATCATCAAACCATGTAAATAATTAGGCAAATAACAAAAATATTTTAAAGTTGCTATTCAAACATGTTTCTAACTTTTTAGAAATTGCAAAATGGCCCATCCGACAGGTGTCCTCGATCGAGTGTCGGACACGAAACCTGTCTAAGACGCAAAAACGTTAAGAAGTTGAAGTTTCCGTGCTACATCTTCTACTTCAATTATGGTTAACAAACACACTAGTCATAGAACAAATGAACAATATCTCATTCCCAAATTTATTATTGTTTCAATATTTTCGGAGCACTCCTAAATAAAATTCAATTTTTCAAAAGTTGTACTTAATAAAACATAACTAATATTTTTGTCCTTTGGAATTTCAACTTTCAACACACTTTCAAAATTTATAGAATATAGTTGAGAGGGACTTATATAAATATTATTCCCTTATTGAAAAAATGTATAGCAAAAACGTGTTTCCCATAACTCTTGCAAAACAATTATTTAATCATCCAACTTGCATAATACAATATTCGAACAACCATTAAAACCTAAATTTGTTAGATTCTCCACTATCTTTATACACGTCATCATTGATCTATTTGCTGATCAGTGCATAAAAAATAGTTTAATTAATTCAATTTTTTTAAGCTTAAATATTATTAAAGGATTTCTTAACTTGATCGATCACCTAGCACAGCCAACTTGCTTATAACATATTCAATTATTCCAGGTTGTACAATTATTAATCAATCAATTAATATATACAATTATTACATGTGTTGTACAATTATTGCAAACATAGCTCCTTCGTGTATATATCAATTGTTTAAGTATTACAAAACCGAAATCGAAACCAAAACCAAAACCGAATTAATTACTAATTTGGTTTCAAGGTTGCCGCTTGCTACTCCTTAATCCAATTAAAACCATACTTATTTTATATATTTATACATAGCTAACATAACTTTGGATTCATATTTATTTTTAAAATCTATTCAAAATCATCTCTTTTCGTTCGAAATCTCTTACACTTGTATGTTTTGTCAATGTTAATTGCCCCTATATTAATTAATAGAGATTAAATTATGAGCGGATCAGCCGATATTTAATATAAATCGGATTCCACTAATTTTTTGACATGTGGCACTCTTAAGTTTTAACTCTTAATAAATCACCCTGATTATAATTAGGGTTAGAGGGGTTATGGGTTCTGCTGGGGTTTTCTTTTTCTTTTTTTTTCAATTATTAGAATCTTAATTATATTTTTATTTAAACTATCTACGTGTCAATCGACATCCGATTTTCTAATTAAAACAGATCATCCGGTCTAAATTTGCACCCTAATTAATATATGCATGAACATTGAGATAGTAAGAAAAAGTTTTTGAATTTTATTAGCATACTCGCATAATAATTATATAATTCGCCAAGACATCGCAATTAAATATATTACAAACAAAAACAATAATACTCCAACATATGCTCATATATATAATATAGCTCAAAACATTTTTATGTTATTACCAAAGTACCATGTCGAATGTGTCGTCTTCAAGTAGTGGTTCGGACCAGAAATTTTCTTGGGATTCTTCAGTTGAGCCCCAAGAAGTAGTTATTCCGGAATCCGAAGAATCTGAGCACGTGGGCTTATTAACATTCTGCATTTCTTGGTGTACTAATCCAAAATCACGAGTTTCTTCCTCTCCAAATGATTGGCCGAAACATGTTCGATAATATATATCGGTCCAGAAATCACCACTAACTTTATCAGCCAAAAACGAATCGACAAAAGTATCGAGATCATCTAAATTTTTAGGGTTTTCGACAGATAAATCTTTGCCAAAAACATCCTCGGACACATGTTCCTCTAATCCAGACACTGATTGCTCTTTGGTAATAGTATCGTTTCGTTTCGTTCGTTTGTTTATGTGGGCATGCCAGTAATTCTTGACTTCATTGTCGGTTCTTCCCGGTAATTTTGCTGCAATGGCTGACCACCTGCATATGTTCTCTAATTAGTATTATTATTAATGTAAAAACAAAATTAATTTATAATTCTTGAAATACAATAATGAATATGCAATACTTGGTTCCAAGTTGATCATGTAATTTGATGATGAGATCCTTTTCGTATTCGGTGAACTTTCCTCGTTTGAGACCGGGCTTCAGATAATTCACCCACCGCAGTCTGCAACTCTTCCCACATCTAGCTAAACCTAATATATAAATAGAGCACATATTTATAATATTTTTATTTAATTTACATTTAGATCATGAAAATAAATAGATTTAATCACCCCACATTTTGGCCTATCCCAACCCAATTGCCATGGTAATAAATAAAGTTACAAAGCCTTAATTGGTTCATTCAAACATATAATTACTCAAAACATTTGGGAATCAATTCACTTAATTATGTGTACATGTGTTTCTAATTTTCATATTATTACATTGACTGCTTAACTTGTGTGGTTCAGTTTCGGGTTTCAGGTTTCGGGGTTTCGAGTTTCGAGTTTCTACTTCCTTTAGAGATATACTAGGATGAAATCAACTAATATTTACTTATAACTTGCAATCACTAACAAAGAAATTGTTTGAAAAACATTATTAGGGTTTCTTGACCGGGTATCTCGGGTTAGGGTTTCATTCTTGAAATTCCCCAAAATTAGCCACGTCTTTATGAATTTTCCCAATTATGTGAGCTACTACCTAAGTTTTTTTTTTTTTTTTTTTTTTTTGTTCTCTTCGTGGAAAATATCGGAAAATATTCGACTTACCGGCAAATACGGGCAGCAATCTCCAGTTAGGGTGGCCATATCTGCAAATGTAAGCCCTTAACTTATTATCCTCTTCTTCACTCCAAGCACCTTTTTTCATTCCATTTTTGTCAAAACAAGGTGGTCTCACCATTTTAATTTTTCTTTGATTTCTTTAATTTTTTTTCTGCAAATTTCTTTGTAATAAGAGTTGTGGAATGTAATATAATTAAGCTCAGTCTATATATATACACACATGTATATAACATTAGAGAGAGACAAAGGCAAAAATATATTAAATTGTTATCCACATACGAAACAACATAGGAAGATTGGTAAATTATATAAAATAATGTGGAGGTTTGAACACATGCTATAAAGCATGCAATTAGGAGACTTCTCAAGTCAATGTGACCTCATTGTGAATTAAGTACTATAATTATAATTATAGAACTTTGTTTTTAGCACTCTCCACCCCTATATAACTTTTGATTGTCGCAAAAGCCCATGTATTATAAAAAAATTAGCAACGACCCCCTACGAAAGTTGATCAAAGCCAATACGGCCCCTCCGAGCGGATCATGTGCTACACTCGCCATATATGCCACTAGGAATGTGTGTTTTGACCTAAAAAGACCAAAATACCCTTTAATTTATAATTTTTAAGAATTACAGATTTATCCGAAAATTTCTATAAGCCCCAAAATAAAAAAAACTTTAAAAAATTTCAATTCAGACCCTTCAATCATCCAAAGATTCCTCTTATTCCCGTCATTATCTACTTCGAAAATTTAACTTCATTGTCAAACAATTCACTTTATTTTTCTATACCAAGTTTTGTTTCTAAATTTCGGTTATATCATATATAGATGTGAACGAATATACACGGCTTGATCGTTTTTTAGATTCAAAATGAGTCCTTGGTGGTAAGATGATATCTACTGTATTGATTTTTATAAAAGTCAGTAAGTATTCTTATTTTAAAATTTTCAAAATTATCCCAAACGATCCCGAAATTTATAACAGTTTTGTGATTTCAGAATCCCCGAAATTTTTGAAGTTTTTGAATCTCACAAATTGCAAAATATGAATGTTGAAGGTCTATAATCATTACTATAAAATTTGAATTAGTCCAATTAGAGTAGAAATGTGAAAATTATGATGGGAATAATATCGTCGACAATAAGATTAGGATAGTAGTATTGAATGCGATTTTTGAACATGATTGACATAAAATCCCATAAAACACAAACCATGAAACGTGTTCACATCTTTCTAATGCAACTTGAATCAGGGTGATCGGATCGAGTTCATGTGCAGAAGTTATGATAAAAATAAAACAAGTTTTAAGATTACGTAATAATATTGTCGGTTCGGCCGTATTAAGATTATGATAGTAGTATTGAATGAGATTTTCGAACATGCTCGTAAGTCAGCTAATCAGAGGTCAACTAATCGGAGTTCCGGCGACCCACTGTCGTAGGCCGTCGCGTTGTTCCCACTGCTGATGTTTGTTGGAAATGAAAGAAAAGGTTTGAATTAACATCTATATAGATAAAATACTGAATTGTTAAATGTCGTTTCAATTTTACTAATGTCGTTTTGACTTCGAACCTGATTTTGACATATTTCTGTTTTGATTTTGGTAAAATTCGAAACACAAAAACTGTAATCCTTTGGGTTAGCTTTCTAATACAACTTAAATCCGCTAGATTGGATGCCGTGTGACAAAGTTATGCATGAATGAGTCACATTTTGAATTTTAGATGCCTCATTACATCAAAGTTGTGGGCAGTATCCATTGATTCATGTATATCTTTCTCGTCCCACATCCAATTTTGCTGATTCAAGTTGGATTAGAAAACTAACTCAGAATACTACAAATTCTATTTTTTGGGTTTTGCAAAATTTAGAATTAAAAATGATTAAAATCAAGTTTGAAGTCGAAACGGTATTATTAAAGCTCGAACGACATTTATCACATCCCGATAAAATAAGGTTGCCGCATAAAAAATGACCTAGTGGGTGGAATTAGAGAATTTAGATCAATCGACTAAAATTTCAATTTTTTTGCCAGTACTTTCTAGGTTGAGTCCGTCATACATAATTAACCCGGATATGGTTTGCATATATCTCTTGTGAAGTTTGCGGAAGTTTGCAGCTATTGCACCAGCAATATCTATATATTGGTTACGAGTTTCTTCACTACCAAAAAAAAGTAAAAGATCATTATACCATTTAAAGGTTGCATCCGAGGAAAAATTAAATGTTAATTACTTGTCCAGAAATATATCATTATGTACTTGTGCTGTCAATCGCTACATCATTTTAATATTATTTATAAAATCTAATGATCCCACTTTTTGTATTCTCTATTTATTTATTTTCTTATACGACAATTGAGTTGACTTAAGTCAACTACATGGAAAATTTAATTTTGACCAAGAAAAGATTGACCATAGTATTTTTTGATGTTAATTACTTTGATACACATTAATTTTTAAATGCTCTTTTCTAATTTTTCCTATTCATTATAATTAGTCAAACGCAATTACATATCTCCATTATAGGAACATTGACCACATAATTCTATGTTGATATATTTGTAAATTACATATTTTAAATGTATAATAATATATTTATAATATATATATGATTCAAATGAAAGTTCACTTTCATCTATCATTCAAAGTTGATAGCCTTGAAATTTTGTACACGTGCTTTAAATAGTCAATAAAAATACTCCAAATTCTTGTTGTATGTGGATACTCTTGCTTCCATACGTACACTTTTGGTGGTCTTTTTCATTATATAAATTTGCTTTCTTGATCAAGTTGATGTTTTTGTTCAACTATGCATGTAAATTGACATCATCAATATAACTACTAATTGAATTTTGAATATTTGCAAGTAATCAGTTATTATCTATGTAGCAGGGACACGGAAACGACGATACGAGAAAACGGACACGGGAAATGGCATGTCAAAATGGGGATACGGGAGCTCAGGAGAAACATGTAAATATTAAAATAAAAATAGGGATGTATTTATAAATATGCTATATAAACATATATATATATATATATATATATATATATATATATATATATATATATATATATATATATATATATATATATATATATATATATTTTTTTTATATTTTTTCAAAAATATATATATATATATATAAATTCTTTTTATATATTTTCAGAAAAACATTATTCAAAATGAATTTTACTATCAACTATCATAGTATCAGTTTGAAATTGATTATTAAACCATATAAATAATTATTGAAGCAAACATATTCGAAAGTTGCTATCCAAACATGTTTCTAACGATTCAGAAATTGCAAAAAATGACTCGTAAGGTGTCCGACAAGTGTCCTCCAGTGTCGGACACGAAATGTATCCAAAACGCGAAAACATTAAGAAGTTGAAATTTTCGTACTGCATCTTTTACTTCGATTCACATTAGTCATATAACATTATGTACTATTCAAATTACTTACTTGTTTTAAATAATATTCTCATTCCCAAATTTATTGTTTCAATATTTTTGGAGCACTCCTAAATTGATATGCCTAATTAGGCCGACTCAATAGGCCTACAATTTCTTTATTTACTGGGCCACGAGTCCAATATTGAAGACCACTACTACCGAGACCCAATCACCTTTAAATAAAGTTTTGGCCCGACAATCTCAACTAATTAAACTTCATCCCAATCAAACTAGTATAAATAAATGTTTGAACTCATTTCTTAAGGGACGCCCTATTATTTGAGTAATACTCTCTCAACTATTTCCACAATCCGCACGTCTGACTTGAGCGTCGGAGGGGTTTCCGCCGGATCAACCCCGGCCTAGTTCACGTGTTCTTTGTTCGCAGGTATCTCAGGGTCATCTAGCACGTGAGCAGTGATCCACTTTGCTCTCCCAGTTCCCTCGATCTCAACTATCTAAGGTGATCTATTTCTAGCATCATCATAAATAAAATTCAATTTTTTTTCAAAAGTTGTACTTAATAAAACATAACTAATATATTTGTCCTTTGGAATTTCAACTTTGCACACTCTTTCGAAATTTATAGAATATAGTTGAGAGGGACTTAAATAAATATTATTGCGTAATTGGAAAAATATATATATAGCAAAAACATGTTTCCATTAACTTTTGCAAAACAATTATTTAATCATCCAACTTGCATAATACAATACTTGAACAACCATTAAAACCTAAATTTGTTAGATTCTCCACTATCTTTATACACGTCATCATTAATCTATTTGCTGATCAGTGCATAAAAAATAGTTTAATTAATTCAAATTTTTTAAGCTTAAATCTTATTAAAGGATTTCTTAACTCGATCGATCGCCTAGCACAGCCAACTTGCTTATAACATATTCAATAATTCCAGGTTGTACAATTATTAATCAATCAATTAATATACAATTATTACATGTGTTGTACAATTATTACAAACATAGCTCCTTCGTGTATATATCAATTGTTAAGTATTACAAAACCGAAATCGAAACCAAAACCAAAACCAAATTAATTACTAATTAGGTTTCAAGGTTGCCACTTGCTACTCCTTAATCCAATTAAATCCGTACTTATTTTATATATTTATACATGGCTAATATAACTTTGGATGCATATTATATTTATTTTAAAAATCTATTCAAAATATATCATCACTTTTTCGTTCGAATCCTCTATATTAATTAATATATGCATGAACATTGAGATAGTAAAGAAAAAAAATTCGAATTTTATTAGCATACTCGCGTAGTAATTATATAATTCGTCTCATATATATAATTCGCCAAGGCATCATAATTAAATATATTACAAACAAGAACATTAATACTCCAACATATGCTCATATATATAATATTGCTCGAAACATATTCGTGTTATTACCAAAGTACCATGTCGAATGTGTCGTCTTCAAGTATTGGTTCGGACCAGAAATTTTCTCGGGATTCTTCATTTGAGCCCCAAGATGTAGTTATACTGGAATCCGAAGAATCGGAGCACGTGGGCTTATTAACATTCTGCATTTCTTGGTGTATTAATCCAAAATCACGAGTTTCTTCCTCTCCAAATGACTGGTCGAAACATGTTTGATAATATATATCAGTCCAGAAATCACCACTAACTTTATCAGCCAAAAACGAATCGACAAAAGTATCGAGATCATCGAAATTTTTAGGGTTTTCGACAGATAAATCTTTGCCAAAAACATCCTCGGACACATGTTCCTCTAATTCAGACATTGATTGGTTTCCGTGCATCACTTTGGTAATAGTACCGTTTCGTTTGTTTCGTTTGTTTATGTGGGCATGCCAGTAATTCTTGACTTCGTTGTCGGTTCTTCCCGGTAATTTTGCTGCAATGGCTGACCACCTGTATATGTTCTCTAATTATTATTATTATTATTAATGCAAAATTTTATTTTTAATTAATTTACATGAATTCTTGAAATACAATAATAAATTTACGATACTTGGTTCCAAGTTGATCATGTAATTTGATGATGAGATCCTCTTCGTCTTCGGTGAATCTTCCTCGTTTGAGACCGGGCTTCAGATAATTCACCCACCGCAGTCTGCAACTCTTCCCACATCTAGCTAAACCTAATATATATATATAAATAGAGCACACGTTTATAATATTTTAATTTAATTTAATTTAAATTTAGATGAAAATAAAGAGATTTTAATCACCCCACATTTTGGCCTAGCTATCCCAAGCCAATTGCCATGGTAATAAATAAATTTACAAAGCCTTAATTGGTTCACTCAAACATAATTACTCAAAAATTAGGGAATCAATTCACTTTATGTGTGTGTTTTTTATTTTCATATTACATCGACTGTTGTGTGGTTCAGTTTCGGGTTTTTGGATTTTTGGTTTCGGGTTTCAGTTTCAGTTTCAGTTTCAAGGTTCTACTTCCTTTAGAGATATACTAATAAGACGATACAACCAACAATATTACTTGTAATATTAATTTACTAACTTACAATCGCTAACAAAAAAATTTGTTTGAAAAACATGATTAGGGTTTCTGGGCCGGGTATCTCGTGTCGTTAGGGTTTCATTCTTGAAATTCCCCAAAATTAACCGTCTTTATGAATTTTCCCAATTAAGTGAGCCAATAACTAAGTTTTTTTTTTTTTTTGTTATCTTCGTGGAAAATAAAGTTGATCGAAAAATATTCGACTTACCGGCAAATACGGGCAGCAATCTCCAGTTAGGGTGGCCGTATCTGCGAATGTAAGCCCTTAACTTATTATCCTCTTCTTCACTCCAAGCACCTTTCTTCATTCCATTTTTGTCAAAACAAGGTGGTCTCACCATTTTAATTTCTCTTTGATTTCTTTTTTTTTTCTGCAAATTTCTTTGTAATAAGAGTTGTGGAATATAATCTAATTAAGCTCAGTCTATATATATATATACATATATATATAGACACACATATATATAACATTAGAGAGAGACAAAGGCAAAAATATATTAAATTTGTTATCCACATACGAAACAACATAGGAAGATTGGTAAATTTATATAAAATAATGTGGAGGTTTGAACACATGCTATAAAGCATGCAATTAGGAGACTTCTCAAGTCAATGTGACCTCATTAATTCTTAAGTACTATAATTATAATTATAGAGCTTTGTTTTTAGCACTCTCCACCCCTATATAACTTTTCATTGTCACAAAAGCCCCTGTATTATAAAAAAAAAAAATTAGTATTGACCCCCTACAAAAGTTGATCAAAGCCAATACGGCCCCTCCGAGCGGATGGTGTGCTACACTCGCCATATATGCCACTATGGGTGCGTGTTTTGATCTAAAAAGACCAAAATACCCTTTAAATTTAAATTTTCAAGAATTACAGATTAATCCCAAAATTTCTATAAGCCCCATAATAAAAATTTTAAAAATTTTCAATTCAGACCCTTCAATCATCCAAAAATTCCTCTAACTCCCGTCATTATCTACTTAGAAAATTTAACTTCATTGTCAAACAATTCACTTTATTTTTCTATACCAAGTTTTGTTTCTAAATTTCGGTTATATCATATTTAGATGTGAACGAATATACACGGCTTGATCCTTTTTTAGATTCAAAATGAGTCCTTGGTGATAAGATGATATCTAGTGTATTCATTTTTATAAAAGCCAGCAAGTATTCTTATTTTAAAATTTTCAAAATTATCCCAAACGATCCCCAAATTTATAACAGTTTTGTGATTTCAGAATCCCCGAAATTTTTGAAGTTTTTTGAATTGGAATGGATTAAAGATTTCAAAATTTTGTAGTTTGTCATTGGAAGTGGTTTTATACTTTCGAAAAATTTCAGAATTTTTTCGAAAAGATTAATTCCAATATGTTGCATACATACGACTTTCACAACAAAGCGCAATACATTTTATCAAAAAAAAAAAAAAAAAAAAGCACAATACACGATTTATTGGGACCGCCCCAAAATCCCCATCGCCGATACCATGCATTATACGGGTACCCGCCCCGCCAAAATTCCCAACAAACAAAATCAATTCTTTTGTCATAATTGCCGTACCTGCACTATAGTTAAATACACCTTCAAACATTGATCAACAGATGCAGCATTTGGTCTTACACTCTTTTGACTAGTTGTTATTAATTCTTTTAGTTTGGTGCCCCATTAATTCCCATTTATTAATTAACTAATTCTTGAAATATATTAATCAAATCCCAATTTTTTTTTTTTTTATTAGCATGAAAAAATGAAGAAAAAATTATTCCACTGTTTTCAGCCAATGGCCATTGAAACTGCAGAGGAACGCCCAATTTCTCCACCTATCATTGGTCCTAAACAACACATGAAAAAATCACTTTCCCAGGTTCTTTTTATTTTTTATTAATTTATTTTTCGAAAAAAATAATTAATTAGTATTAAAAAAAATTCTGATTAAAAATAACCCTTTATTTTTTCTCCTTTCCTCACAGAAAATAAAGATTTCTGCAGGTAAAAACATTCATCGCTTGAGCCTTCAATTGAAGAACAATAATTCGTCGAGAAAAATCTACACTCACTCGAAGATATCCGATGATGTCATCGATGATGACATCCAAGAGACAGAAATAACGAGTTCGAAAAGCACGACATCGTCATCATCAGTAACAGAGGGTAAATCGCCACCGTTGATTGAAGAAAACATCGTCAGAAAAAAGCCTTGTTGTTCATGTACTAAAATTAATCCTTTTTTATATGTGTTTGTTCTAACACTCTTCTTTACTATTCTATGGGGCCGAGCTACGGCGATTTTCTTTACGTTGGTATTATTTTATTTGTTTCCTCTAGTTTTCCGGCCGGTGATCGGGAAAAAGCCGCCGGAGTTGGTGGAAAAAGCTTAACTAAGAACAGAGTACTGGGAAAAATAATTAGTGCATGTGCAATTAAATATTTGGCATGGAAAAAGAAATTGCGTGTGGTAGTATAATTTTAAGCATTTTAGTAATTATGTATTACTTTTTTTTTTTTATCACTAAATGTTTACTGTATAATATTATTTTTTTAAATTTATTATTTGATACATTTGTTATGAGTTTTTATGAAGTAAAATTAGGGGTGGAAACTGGAACGAAATTTTGCGATTTCTGCCGATTCCGATTCTAAATTTTCCGATTTGGGAACAATTTTTGTCAAATTTGAATTCCAAAATTCCGAGTTCTGATTTTTTCGAAATTATTTGAATTGGAATTGGAATATATATATATATATATATATATATATATATATATATATATATATATATATATATATATATATATATATATATATATATATATATATATATATATATATATATATATATAT